TCTGCAAACCATGACCTCTCCTGCCATCCATCCTCATCTGAATGGTAAATGTACAATGGAAGTGGGAAATGGCTGTCACCAAACCAGAATGGATGCAGTACATCTGGGCACACAGGCTTTGCTTCCAAGCAATGTGAGGCTTGCCAAGAGCAAACTGCATTGTCCAGGCAATGACACAAGGACAGGTTGAAGTTTTCTGTCACCACCGAACCTTTCATGTGAAATGCCAGCAATGTCCAAACGTGTGTGATTAAAAATTCTGTTCATAAGCATTCTTGACCAAGCCTTTGGTCTTTGCAGATCGATCATAGTCATCTCTGTGAAAGAGAAGTAATCACCAGCAAATTTAAAAGTCTTGCCTGTGGGTCACAATTCAAAGATCTCACAGGCTGCAAAGAGCATAGAGTTGATTTCCTGTCACCTTGAGCTGTAAATATACACCAACCTGCTCTTATATACACTGCCGCCTGTTTTGGGTGATGTAGGGACTAGAGAAAAGATTTCAGTAATCCTACTACACTGTTGTATTTACACAGGATGACTTGCGCTGCATACATCAGATTAAGGTCCATGATGCCAGAAGTCCATGAAGAGGTATTCAAAAGGCCTCTTTGACAGTGAGTTCTCCATATTCCACAGTATGGAACCATCATCTATGAGTGAGTGAATATTGGACTGCTCACACCCATAAGAATCTGTTCTGTTTCTGATATTCCCCATACAGAGTCTTTGGAGCCCTGGATCCACCCACAACAGAGATCATCATCATCATCATCATCATCATCATCATCACTGTGGCCATGGTGCAAAAGGCATAGAGAAATTGAAAAGGAACAGATGCACCACCAAGCCCAAGACTGGAAGCAACCAGCAACAGCTGCCAAACAGCCTCCACACAGGGAACCATCGCAGCTGAATGTTTCCCTCAGAACAAACTGGAAGGCCCAGTGTCAATTGTCCTCAGTGCCATTTCCTCCAGACAAGTGAAGCACATGGAAGAGGTGGGACACCATCAGAGAAGTGTGCCATCTGCTGGAGCAGGACTTAAGAACTGATCGAAAGGGGGACCATCTTTCTCAAGGTGACAGCTGCAGTAAACCTTTACACATCTGGCTGCTTCCAAGGATCCACTGGGGTTTCTTTTAGGACCCACAATCCACAAATGTGTCAAAGCTGTTACTGCTATAATTTGTGCCTGATCATACCACCCCTTCTCGTTTCCACATGACAAGGTCAGTGCTACAGCCCGGGCAAGAGGCTGAGCCAACATAGCTGGCTTCCTCCAGGTACAGGGCACTGTAGACTATCCATATATTGCATTGGAGGGGCCATGTCATAATGAAGCTGACTTCATCATCAATAGAAAAGAATTCCATTTCAATGTAAAAATCATCTGTGATCCTCTGTACCAATCTCAGAAATCAGGTACACTGTAAGCTGCCATGATGCTGATAACTGAGAACACTCATGTTCCTACTCCATTTCAAGGGCTGGATCCTTACAAAAGGATGGCTACTGGGAGATAAGGGCCACCCACTACAACAGTGGCTGATGACTCCATTATACAACCCTTTCATTGAGGCCAAGTGTAAATATAATGCAGCCCGTCCCTCCACAGGCCCATGGTGGGGCAGATAGTAGCCTCCTGAAGAGGAGGCTCCAATTCACGGATGTGGGGTTGGGAGGTTGGGGTGTTTGCAGTCCACTCCAGATAAAAAAAAAAGCGTGCCACATAATCCTGGTATGCTATGCCCTGTACGACTCGAGTTGGCAAAGAGTGCAAGAGATGGACTCTGAAGGGCTGGAAGAATGGCAAGAAGCCTTCTGAAGAGGAAGAGGAGGACATTCAGCAGGAAGACCAGAACCTTCAGATTGAGATAGCGGTGCAATGTTCTTCTCACCGAAAGAGACAGGACTTAATTGACAACTGCTACCAATCAATGGGAGTAGGGTGAGGTCATCATTCATGATTGTAAATCTGTTACTGCTCAAGCAACAAGCAACACTTGTTTAGTCCCAGAAGCAAAATATTTGTTTGCTTTTTCTTCGGCTTTTCTGTTATTCAATAACAAGTTAATGTTTTCAGCTGTTTCCAGCCCACAACGCTCCAACATTGAACAATGATCTGCTACACTGGGCCTTTAGCAAAGCTGCTGGTGAGTCTGTTTAGAAACTAGAACCAAATCTCGTGCTCAGTTATTACAGAGAGCACTTAAGATTCAACCTCATTAATGTAAGCCTGAAAGTCTCAAATAAAGTACACTGAGGAAATTAATGCTAGCTTTCAGATTTCTTTCATTAGCTAATTAATTTAAATCCTCCAATTAACCATGGTGGGTTTTTGAAATCACATTGAGGATAATAAAAGGATGAATAACAAATGCTGGCCTTGTCAGTGATGTTCACATCTGATGGAAGAATAAAAAGGAATCTCCAGATGAGGACCCCAGGTCTGTCTTATTAGTCCAATATGTCACCTTGTCCCTGTGAATATGTAAACATACAATCCTGAACCCTGGGATTCTAACAAATTCCTCAAGTGATGTGGGCACTTTCTACTACTCATTCACAGCATGTAGGTGCCACTGGCTGGGTTAGGGTCATCCCTAATTGCCCCCAGAGAAGGTGGTGGAGGACTTTCTTGGGCTGGTGTAGTCCTTAGGCTGGAGGTACATCCACAATGTCATCAGAGAGGTCATTTGAGGATTTTGGTCCCTGTCTTCAACAGTACTACACATGACCATGAACTAGGTGCCCTCCTATTCACCTCGTAGACTCGAGCAGAGTCAATAACAGGAACACTGGTTAGGATTGCACGCCAAGGATTTTCAAGGTCATTATCACCTTATTTTCCTTGAGCTTCTGAACTTCCAATGTTCAGTGAGAATCTGCTCAAGCAACTTTCTGTTCCAAAGTAAATCCTATTTCAGTTGTTTCTGCGACAACAAGGTGCAGGGCTGGATGAACACAGCAGGCCTAGCA